AAGCCGGAATTTTTTGACATTTTCTTAGCCTCCTCAGCTGTCTTTTGTAACACGATATTTTGAAAAGTCTCAATTTAGATTTCTTAAATTTGAGTGTTTCTATTAAAAACAAATTAAACGTTTTTTTTGCAAATCTAGATATTGTTTAAAAAGGTATTTGTAGATACTTCCTTAGTCTCCCCCACTGTCTTTTGCAACACAATGTTTTAAAAAAGTCTCAGTTGACATTTTTTAAATTGAATTTAAGCATTTCTTTAAGAAATTTTTAAATATGTTAATTTGCAAGTCTTGAATTTTTTAAGCCGGTATTTTTGACATTTTCTTAGCCTCCCCAACTGTCTTTTGTAACACGATATTTTGATAAGTCTCAATTTACATTTTTTTAATTTGAGCATTTCTTTTCTATGTAAGAAATTTTTAAACCTTTTTTTTGCAAATCTTAAACCGGTATTTGTACTGTCTTTTGCAACACGATGTTCTGAAAAAGTGTAGAGTGACATTTTTTAAATTTAAGCATACCAGGTGAATAAAAAGTATGGAACCAAACGTTTTTTGCTTAAACTATTTATTTTTTGAAAAAAATTATAATTGATGAGTGATTAAGTACTATAAAAATGTGATGATTTAACAAAAATAAAATTTTTCGAATTTTCCTTTTGTTTTTGAGTTCTACAAAAAAAATAATTTTTTTAAATGGCAACCCACTTTAAAATCATTTTTCTCATAAAAGCTATACTCTAAGGATTACAACTATCTGCTTTATATTTAATTTTTTCAAAAAAAATTTTTCACATAAATTGCAATTTTGACAAAAAAAATCGCATAACTCAAAAACAAAACAAAATTTCGTTACTCTAATTTATATTAATTATTATTTTCTGGAGGCAAATGATTAAAAATAAAACCGCTTGGTTCCATACTTTATATTCACCCTGTATAAGAAATACAAGTATTTTTTTTACAATTTACTCAGTTAGAAGTTATGAACAAAAGAAACAAATATTTGTACATTATGTAATCAAGGAAATACAGTATTTTGTGAGTTAAACATATTAACAGAGATTAGGAATTTTTTAAATTGCACCGGAATTGTTTGTTTGCTGATAATTAAAGTTTATTGTTTTAACAATTTAATAAAATAAATGAAACTTTGGAGATAAATCTCAGATTATAGTTAGCAATTTTGTTTTTAATTACCGCACTCGCTACGTTTGTTTGTAATGTTTTTGATTAATTTAAATTAAATTATTCTTTTTGTGGTAATTAATCCCCCGTTTTACTGCTGATATGAGGAATTTACGTATAAACAAAGTGGAAAATTAGGCACTTTATATTCATAAAATGTTACAATGATTTAAGGGAGTAGAAAGGTAAATTTGAAGGTTTGACTATAAACTATAATAAAGCGATTTGTAGTACGGTGTTGTAAAATTTTATTCGATACGCTTTTATCATAAAAATGTCGGTTTTAGCAATCAAAAATTTTGAATATTGTATCACATTCGTCTCCCATTTCAGTTACAGAAACGGTTTGCGACTTTGCTAATGTGTCGAAAATAATCGATTTTTTGTTAGTTATAATTTAATAAACGATGAGAGCAGTTAAAATGCTCTACGACGAGTGACATTTTGATTGGCTGCGCGTGACACGTGACGCGTTAGAACCAATCAGAATGTGGAATTTTCCATTTTCAGGGTTTGAGTAACACCATGGGATCTTTCTTCGCCTGTATGCCGGTCACAGCCTCCCTCTCCCGTTCCATGATCCAGGAAGCCGTCGGTGGAGTGACACAAATCGCCTCAATAGTCTCTTGTAGCATCCTCTTGGTCATCCTCCTCTGGATCGGCCCTCTCTTCGAGACTCTCCCTCGGGTAAACAAACACCTCCAAACCCTCAAAATTCACTCAAATCACCCCCAAATCAGTGTGTCTTAGCTAGCATCATCGTGGTGGCCCTCAAAGGCATGCTCTTCCAATGCCAATCCATCGTCAAGTATTGGAAATTGAGTAAATGGGACACTTTGGTCTGGGTTGTCACTTTCTGTACCACTTTATTTATCCAAATTGGATACGGATTGGCTGCAGGAGTGGCCGTTTCATTATTGAGTGTTTTCATACAAGGGTATAAACCGTATACTTGCCTCCTGGGGGTTGTACCAAACACAGATCTGTACTTGGATATTAAACGGTACAAAAAGGCACAAGAAATTCCAGGGGTGAAGATTTTTAGGTACTCAGGGGGGCTGAGTTTTGCCTCAAGGAGCGCTTTTAAGGAGTTGTTGAGTAGGAAAATCGGTTTTGATCCGGCGAGTGTGCTCAGGAAAAGGGCCAGGCTTGAGGAGGCACCCTCAACGTAAGTAAAAAAAAAAAAATTATTTATTTTATACATTTTGAGAATAGGAATAATAAATAATAATAATAATTTTATTAATAATTAATAATTAAAAAAAGAAAATAATAATAATAAAGCGGGTTTGTTAAATTCATGCTTAACCTATTTATACTTAACCCCCCAACAAAAAAAAGAAATAATAATAAAACAAATAAACAAAGTAAATAAATAAAAAATAAGCAAAAGAGTAAAACTAAAATTAAGAAAAACTACTTAAGAGGAAATACAGGAAATAAAACAACAAGAAAATAACAAAAAGCAAAAGTAAAAAACTAGATGGTCGAAAAATTTTTTTTTTTGCGAAAATTGTTCACTGAACGTTTTTCTTTAAATTTTAGAGAAGAAATAACAGTTTTTGTGTTGTAATGACGTCATTGAATATAAATAAAATGTTTTGACAGTAAATATTTTTTAATTGGTGGCGAAATCGATAGTCTTTTAATACAATAGAACAAAAAAGCCTTGTTTTTGTTTACAAAAGCACTAATAAGCAGTTATTATAAACAATTAATTTATATATCTTTTAATTATCGGGAAGTTAGGTAACTTGGAAGCGTTTTGTTTTAAACAGAACCCAAAAAAAATTTAAGAAAAAAATACAGGGTGACTCGGCTGAGATGACTTTGACTCAACTGAATCACTTTGTACTACGTTTCAATAAAAATCTATATGAAATTATTTAATTATTTAATCATATTCATGTAAGAATCAAAATTAACAAACACGACGTCTACTATTTATTTTTTATCATGAATATTTGATTAAATATTTCAAAACTACAAAAGCAGAATATTCAAAATTTATTTTTAGAAGAATGAGAAAAAATGCAATAAAATTAAAAAAATAAAGGGTGTTAAATTTACAAAAACCAAGTATCACTGTTTGAAAATGGTACACCCTGTGTAAAAAAAATTAATTTAAAATTTAAATTTTTATTTTTTAATTATCGGGACGTTGGGTGATTTAGAAGCGTTTTATTTTAAACAGTGTTGTTGAATAATTTTACGTTAAATGAAGTTAGTTTGTTGGCTAATATGGCCCAAGAAACATTTAAATTATTTTTTTTAAAATTGGTTTAAATCGCGCTTACATTTATTTATTTGTTGAGCAATATCTCAAAAATTATTGATTTTGTGAAAAATCTAATTACAGATTTAAAAATGGAGACCATTTTACGTTGGGTAAACAAAAATTTTAACAAATCTGTTGGTCCATTTGGCCTAGAAAAAAAATTGTTATTTAAGAAAAAAAATACAGGGTGACTCGACTGAGATGACTTTTTTTTAATTTTAAAAGTGATAGACGGGGCCATAAAACCACTGTAGGACTGGCCATCTCAACTGAATCACTCTGTACTACGTTTCAATAAAAATCTATATGAAATTATTTAATTTAATATATTTAATGAAAATATTTAATCATATCAAAATAAACAAACACGACGCCTACTATTTATTTTTTATCATGAATATTTGATTAAATATTTCAAAACTTCAAAAGTAGAATATTCAAAATTTATATTTAGAAGAATGAGAAAAAATGCAATAACATTTAAAAAATATAGGGTGTTAAATTTACAAAAACCAAGTAAGTATGAATGTTTGAAAATGGTACACTCTGTATAAAAAAATAAATAAATAAAAGTTGCATCAAATTATAGTGTAAAGCCTTCTGTACTAATATACAAAATTTTACTTTAATATTGTTAGTAGTAAATCAAATTTTGAACATTTTTCAAAAAATGTCATAATTTGGCAACGTCACTGCCAAACTCTAAAAGTAAAAATGATTTTGTAGCATTTAACCAGAGTATTTTTAAAAAAAAGTTGAATACAATACAAAAACAATGGAAATCATTAATATACCGGGTGAGTCAAGTTCTATGCGCACCCCCAAAATTATTAATATTTATTTTTTTCTCGAACTAAAAAAAATATAAATCAGACCAAAATGCCCGGTAAATAATATTAAAGTGGGTTTTAATCACTTTTTAACATTTTTTTTAAATCAAAATTTTTGCATATTGATTTTGTTACGTAACTTTTTTTCTAATAAGAATAGATATTAATTAAGGGTAATATAACAATACATTTCATAATTTTAGTTTAGTTATGAAAAATTTGAGTCATTTGTGTATCTCAAAATAAATGTATACAGGGTGGGCCAGAACTCGCGCCCCAGAGTTAGGCTTCCTACAAAAATAAAAAAATAATCAAGAAGATAATAAAAAATGAATGAATTTTAAACGAATTAAAAAAAACATACTTGCCGAAATCCTGACCTTAAATTCGCCAAAAAAACTCAAAACTTAAAAATTTAATATCGTTTTTTCAAGTTTTTAATTTTTTTCTTTACACAAAAACCAGTATTTTGTTTTTTTTTGTCATTGGTATTAAAAACATTAGAATTTAATTTGTATCAAATTTTGCTGAGAAGAAATAGAAAAATAAAAGAAATTATTATTTCAACTTTCTTTCCTATTGGCCCTCACTTCAGAAATTGTATTTAATAAGGTAATTCGCCCAAAAAAATTTTTTTCACATTGATCACTAATCAATTATACCGGGTGCGCCAGAACTCGCGCCCCAGAGAAAATTAAGGTAAGATACGAGGAACATGGAAAAAATGTAAAAAAAATTATCTATAAAAATTTGGAAGTTATGAGGGTTTACACTTTGATTCTATTTATTTCTGTTGAAAAAAATTATTTCCAAGTTTTTTTCCTATAGGCTATTAAAAAGGAAACAAGGAAGCTGTATCCCAAATTGTATTTCCGTTCAATATTATTTGTGGCTTTTAGTAGCAAAATTTTTGTGCCTTACTAAATAATTGTAAAAAAACATATACAAGAGCATCAGTATCATTAAATAGACATAAAGAAATGTTAAATGTTAAAAAATAAATGTCAAAATTTTTTGACAGAATTTTTTCATGTTCCTGGTATCTTCCCTTACTTAAAAATTTTCTCTGGGGCGCGAGTTCTGGCGCACTCTGTGTAGTATGTAATACACAGGGTGATCCAGATTTCACAGTGTGCCATTTGCAGGTCCACCACTTGCACCGAGGACTTCGACTTGCTCACCCGCTGCATAATTTTGGACTTCGCTGCGTTAACCTTCGTGGACCCCTCCGGCGTGGACTTACTCCGCCAACTCCAGAGCGATTATGCCAAACTCGATATAGCGCTCTACATAGCGGCTTGTTCAGGTATTTCCCCCGATTTTTGTCTCTCATTTGTGACTTGTATTTCCAGGGCCGGTGTATGAAAAATTCATCATCTGTGATCAACAAGAAGGCATCGAGAGCAAGTTTATGATCTTCCCGACGATTCACGATGCCGTTCTCTTTGCTCAATCAAGTGTCTTAAGGACTAAACAAATTTAAATAAGTGAAAGTATTAGAGATTTTATTTTTGTTATTGTATATTTCGTACTTAGAAAGAGTTACCACTTGTTATTTATTTGAAGATTTTTAATAAATGAGTAAGAAGCAAATGGGATTTTTGTGTTGTGCATTAAATATTCATTTGTTGTTCACTCGACGTAATTGTGTGTTTTCAAAGAAAACATCAAGACGTGTGAAGGAGCGATTTTATCGCAGTGATATACACGATATGAGTGCCACGTCGACGGTTGTAGTATCAAAGGAAATGTTTGATTTGTTCTCGACGGTGCTTTATTTGAGTAGGTTTTTCTGTCTTCAGCCCCTCAAGTGGATTAAGACTGATTACAGCTACATTATTTCAAAGTCGGGGCCCTATATGACCTATAGTATTCTGGCAAGCCTATCTCTAGGTATGTAGAAAATTAAAGCCTGTTGTTTGTGACAAAAAATCTATTGGCAACACTGAATTATTAATAATTCTCCTAATTTGTTATAATAGAAAAATCACAATCATTTAGAGTCACCCGGTATTTTGAATAAGTGTATAGTTGGCTGCCTGCCACTAACAACCTATTGACAATTTGTTTTTAAAACAAATTTTTGTCATCTCAGAATTAAATTATTATAATTAAAAGATACAAAATACGTCACATATTCATATATTGATTTTTACGTTTAAAATTATTTTTTCTTTTAAAGTAGTTATTTTAAAAAACATGTAATTATTTGTGGATAAAAGCATTCAAAACATCGGAAAATTTACGAAATTGACAAATGAATGGGGTTTTCAGTTATTTATGGTAAACAGAATTGATTTTGAATATAGTGTTACATATATCAGTCCATTTTTGTGATCAAAACTTATACAGGTGTCCCCAAAGTAAACCGCTAACGCGAACTAGTGATAGAAAAAGTCATTCTGAGAAAAAAGTTTGCTTTTGGGACACCTGTATATTTTCAAAGTGAACAAAAAGTATAGAACCAAACGTTTTTTGTAATCATTTGTCTTAGAAAATAACAATTAGTCAATTAATAAAAATTAAAGTGTTGTAAAAAATGTAATCGTACTTTGAGAGTGAATTTCTGTTTTGTTTTTAATTATGCAATATTTTTTTTCAAAATGACAACTTGCCCTTGTAAAAAAGGATTTATAGTGGGTTGCCATTAAAAAAAAATAAAAATTTTGTTGAACATTTTTATAGTAGTTCATCAATTATCGTTTAGTTTTTTCATAAATAGTTTAAGCAAAAAACTTTTGGTTCCATACTTTTGTTAACCTGGTATAACACTTTCTATATTTTTCGTTTCTGTAACCGTAACCGAAAATAAAGCAAAAACAAGAAATTGAAACATTTTCAAGAGAAAAAATAATGAGTACATATTGTGTAACAATATAAAAAAAATTTATAGATATTTCTTGAAAGAAAAATTTGTTTTCAAATTAATTAATTAATTAGCTGGTTAATTGATTTTTCACAAAAAAAAAACCAAAAACTATTTTTTGCAGTTCATTCAATGAAATCTTGACTTAGCTGAAACCTCTTACTTTTTTATTCTCACCTAAGGATGACCACTTTGTGGTTGAAACGCGTTGTGTTTGAAATAAAAGTTTGATGTGACAGGTTTAATCATGTTTTTGTTCATAATAGTATTTAAATTTGGTATTTTTTGCAAATATCAGTGATTTTCTTTATAAATATGTCTAGCAGAATGTCGATTTTTTTTGATAAGATAAGAATTTAAAAGTTSTTTTCAACGGTATCAAACAAAAAGTTTCAAAATCGGATCAAATGATATTTTCTGCACTTTCAGGCCCCCTAGAAACAATTCAGTCCATTTTTGTGGTCAAATCTTTTTTTAAGAATTATTAAATTTGAATTTGAGATATTAGATTAAAGCAGAGACACTGGCCGTGGGCGGGGTGGCGCGGCAATAAAGTCTGCTTCCCACAGGCAAGTCCTGCTGAAATCAGAAATTTTTCTCAAATTCCAAAATTCTTTTATTTTTTTAAGACACTTTCGGCGCCACTAGAAAAAATCAAGGTCACGCGGCATACTTTGTCAAAGAGTACACAAATTGTGTCTAACGTTACACCGAAAACTATCAATTTCTCGATTAAAAATGCTTATTTTCAGTCAATATCGTGTAACAAAATAAAGAAATTTTTTTACATATTTCTTGAAAGAACAATCTGTTGTCAAATTAATTAATTAATTAAAATCATTAAAGAAATTCCACTAAGCGAACTCTTTTTCCGGTTTGCGACTTTACTACTGTGTTCGAAAATAATCGATTTTTTGAATTTGTAAATATGTGAATCCCCGAAGAATCGTAAACATGATCGATCAACAGGTTAAAATGCTCTACGACGAGTAGTTTTCAAGATATTGAACAGTTTTAAGCGATCGATATTTCAGATATTTGGTTTTCAAATTATATTTTTTTTTATTTTAAAAAGTCGGAAATCTAAAATCCCGAAACAATACCTTTTATCGACTCCAGGTTGATTGATAAATATGTCTCGCAGAACAACAATTGTTTTGATAAGATAAAAATCGGATCAAGTGACGTTTTCTGCACTTTCAGGGCCCCTAAGCACTTAGAAAACACATTTCAGTCCATTTTTCTTATCAAAACTTTTTTAGAATTATTAAAGTTGAATCAGATTCTGCTTTCGACGCTGAAATCAGCAATTTTTCAGTAGAAAAAATCAAGGTCACGCGACATACGTTGTTAAAGAGTATA